CTTTCTCGTCCCCCCTCTCTCTCTCTCTCTCGAGATATAAATCTTGTTATAACACATATATTTATATTTGTTTGCCACCCACGCACAGGACAAACCTGGCTATCAACCGTCAGACAAGGATGCTGGCCAACATGACTTTGTCCGACTGTTACGAGACCGAGTCGAATCTCAGCCGAAGACACAGAGACGAGATCATGCTGGCTAGTGCTAAATATAATCTCGCCAGGTTCTTTCGCTTTTTTGGCTTGCTAGAGCGGGAACTTGACAGTGCCCGATTGTTTGGGGCAACTTTTGATGGTATCAACTTTCATTTGGAAACCTTTCAGCAGGAGCCAACCGTAGCAGACAGCACGCTTAGTACCCTGACTGACTTCGAAAAAGAAGAAATTCTGAGACTGAATTATCTCGATGTTCGATTACTCGAGTTTGCGAGAGCTCTTTTTGCAGAAAGATTAAAAAATGCCCAACTGCATGTTTGAATAGAAATTATTATATAAATCCTTTTTAAGCACGAAGCAATATATTATATTAGTATACTGCTCTGTCGATGCATCAGGACAGAAGATCAATTACCTTGATGCTCGATAGCTTGAGTTTACGAGAGCTCTTTCCGCAGCGGGAATAAAATGGCCGAACTACAGGTTTGAATGGAAATGATTTTATTAATCCTTTTCATACACTAAGCAATATATTACAATAATATTTTATCATCACCCTGGTGATGCTTCAAGTTGACAATCATTACTAAGAATTACGATGCCTCGGACTCCAATCGTTGCCAAAAGGTTTTTGTGGTAACTGCCACAGACAAAGACAATCAACGACAACTCAGTTGGTATCGGGCAAAGACTTCTGTGAGTGAACTGACTTGGAACATCAGTTTTTTCTGGGGGGAGTTTTCATGGAGTCCCACTCACTTCTTTTTAGTTTTAGTAGAAGTTCTACGGCACTTGCAACACAATAAGGTCATATAATGGCCGAAGATTAGATGTTACAAGAGAGTGACATACACGTGAAATGGAGGAGAGATAAGGACGATAGATGTATGATAGAAAGAAGGACCAAAACCACACCAGAAGACCCGCCAGCCACCCTCTCCCACTCCCTTCTACCAGAGACTAACGTCAATATTGGATGCCCGGGGTTCTGAAAGAAGCGCTGTGCTGGATCGTCATGAGATCTCTATCCCATCTGTGAGGGATCTCTGCAGATCTCTGCTTGTTCCTTGTTGCGATGTTTCTTGCTGCAAATCTTCTTGATTGCTTCTACGCCCATCGTTTTCCAGGGGTCCATTTGCAGAGGTTTGTTCAAGGATTATTTAATGACAACTTACCGTGATCAGGTTTTGGCAAACCAAGCTGTAACTGTCCAAACTTTAGAAAAATTCTTGTTGTTGACCAATTGGATTAACAGCTACCCGAGGACATCTTTTTGTGTTTATTCATGAGGCTATATGTATGATTGCTTGGTTTGCGTGCTTCCTTATTTTGCCTGTTTGTGTGAAATTACGGTACTTTATTTGGTACATTTTATACCATTGTGCTCGATACTGCTTTATTAGCAGTGATTCTATTTAAGCATACCATCGTTCTCTTGAATTTGGAGTCCCCCAGGAACCTGTACTAAACCCAAGTTTCTATGTTTTATATACCCAGCCTCTTGGAGATCATATCAGACATCACCAAGTTATGCCATTCTATAAAAATGTATGCTAATATACACAATTGCACAGATCTGTTAGACCAAACCAGTATTCATTCTTTATTGGCGATGTGGAAAAATATTATATCGAGACTGTCAAAAACTGGAAAGAAAAAAGGAAACTGCGAGAGAACGACGGACAGACAAAAATAATTCCATGTTCCGCAAGTTCAAAGTTGAGTTGTCTCGAGGCAAGCATATAATTTATATAGAAATTGATTGATCTGACTTTTACTAATACAACTTTTTAAAAAGCCTTTGTGTGTATTTAGACCAAGAGCTGTTCATAAGAAACCATATAATCTCCTTGGCAAAATTTCAGAAAAAAATGGTCGGTTGAAACATTAACTTCACATCAGCGAGAAAAAATCACTAACATCAGCGTTTATTCTATCTCGACTAGACTTCATCAATAATATTACTTTCAGCAGGCTTACGCGTATAATAAATCCACAAACCGCAATGCACTCAAAACAACGCGGTTAGAAATTAGTATCCTGCCACTAAGGAACTCTTAACATGAGCATAATAAGAATTATAACACCGTTACTAAAAGAGCTCCATTGTTACCCGTAAAAGCAAGTATTCATTATAACCTGGTATTACTGTGTTTCAAAGCTGTATGATCAATTGCCCACCTTATACTATTATCAAAAACGTTCCTGTCTCTTACCATCCATCAAGATGTCTACGATCATCTTTGTATAAACCAGTTTCCAATACCACGAGGACATCTCAAGAAATACGGTGAAAGGGTTTTCTCATTCTCTAGCCCATGCGTGTTGTCTATTATAGCCGCCTATTGTGGCGCAACTTACTGCCATAATTCCTGAACTAACGAACATAGACTCTCCAGCTTTTGCACAATTATGGCTTGTTCAATTTGTATTAACAGATCAATTTTTGTGTGAACACCTGTTAGCTGTATTCTAGAAAATTACTTAAATTAATTTAAAATGCAAGTGGGTGGTTTCTACAGATTTTAAAAGGTTTACAGCTGGGATACTATCACTTTTAAAGCCAGTCCGTCAATTGGTATCTAATCACAACATTATGCTTATTGAACGCATGGTTTGAGAAGCTTTAGTGCAAGAATGTGTTTACCATAAAATTGATTTTTTGTAACAAGTTTATTCACTAAAAAGTGTCTTTAGTGAGCTGTAACGTATACCATGAATATTCTAAATATGAGCGAGAAGCGGGAAGTGCAGTAAACAAACCCATTGTTCGCATGACGGAGATTCATAGTATTTTATATACATTTGTGAAGAAAAGTTTTTAAGTCTAGCCTTCATTATTGTGGAAAAATAAGGTTACGATAAGACAAATGTATACAAACAGCTATGCAAAGCATGGGTGACATTGGCGATTCGCCCGTTAAAGAAAGATTAGAGGATAAGTTGCCCCTCGAATTTTTTAACACACTATTGGAGTTAGGATCTATCGCTAATTCAAAAACCTGCAAAATAAACCTCAAAGCTCACCTTTTTAAAAAATGCCACTGTCTTGTCAATACAAACTGAGGTGACACTCTTTAGAATCTGTCAGTTTTGATGTGTAAGTTTAGGAAGGTTAAGTGATTGTGTGCGCACCCGTGTGCTTATGTTTATGTGCATCTCTCTCTCTCTCTCTCTCTCTCTCTCTCTCTCTCTCTC